TATATATATATATATATATATATATATATATATATATATATATATGTATATGCGAATGTGTGTCATTGAGTGTTTGTATGTGTGTATGTAGGTCTGTGTCATTTTTTTTGTAATTATATTATTAATAAACACATTTATACGTTAATCAGATATCACACCATAGTCGTGAAAAAATCTGAATGTGTAATCTGAAATTGGATTTTCAGTTAAAAAAGCTTTGGTTTCATTTCAGAGTAGAACAAATTTGAATGTAATAGTAATGTATTACTATGGAAGTAATCAGGTAATCGGTAATCAATTTGCTTGTTTTCCTCCTAGCTTCAAATATTTCTGTGAGGTCAGATAGTTGAAATCAGTGTGATACTATTAGTGATTGTGTTCAGTCTATTTCATTCTAAGTCGATCGATCTCTAGCGACATTAAAGTCCTATGCAAGATTCAGAACGTATTTAAATTGAAAAATGTTTATTAAGAATCATTGATAAACACGACTGAATCACTACTAAATAAATTTGTTTGAGAATGCAATTGTGAAACCAGAATAAAATACAGACTTTAAAAAAATGGAGAAAGAAAAAGAGAGAGAGAGAGAGAGAGAGAGAGAGAAAGAGAACAAATAAGAGAGAGAGAGAGAGAGAGAGAGAGAGAGAGAAATTGTATGATACGGCAAGTAATATTTAAATAATAAAAGCCCTTATTATTCCATCCGAAGTAGTCTGTGTTTCAAACTGAAGGATAAACAGAGAAAAGTATTCAATTTCACACACACGCTCCATTCCATATACATACCGTTGAATGGATGTATGTTTATGTTTGGAAAAGAAACACACACACACACAAACACACACACACACGCACTTATCTTCACATGTGCAATAATCGCTTACATATTTTCACTTATGCGTGTGTGTACCATCCCAGCTGCTATGCATGGGGAAATGCGATCTAGTAAATATCTTAATAACAATATTCTACATTTCAAAAGTGTGTGTGTGTGTCTGTGTATGTGTGTTCGTGTGTGTGTGTGTGTTTCCGTGTGTGTTTGTGTAATGTGACCAGTTTGTAAATATAATGCAACTTACATGGCATATTTTTCATTGGTGAATATTTAATAGATGCTGACTTCAATGAAGGCAGATGTTTCGATGATTTTAAATTCGATAACTTATATGTAGAAATTTGAATAATCAAGCGAACATTCAGGCATACACATACACACACACGTGTGTGTATGTGTATGCGAGTGTGTTTGTTTGTGTATTCCGTCGTTTGTATATAGTTTCATCACTGTTTTGTTGTTTATATCTGTATGATTGCTTGTCAGCATGTGTATGTTTCTGTGTATGTGTGTAGAATGAGTCAGAATGAGACGAATGGAGGAATTGAAAATGATTAAATAGATGATGAAATGATGAAGATGACGAAACGCTTTATGAAGATGAAAATGTACAAGAAGATGATGGTGATAATTATTATATAAAGAAGTATAAAAAGAAAAATAATAATAAGAATAATAATAGAAATAATAATAATAATGTCGAAATGTCGAGTGGATTATTATTGAAAGGCATGTACTGTGTTGGTTATTGTCAAATGAAGCTCTGAATATTATCGTTGTTATTCTTTTCGATGCAGTTATCATACCACAAGTCATCATCTCGTATAAGTATAAGCTTGTTATTGCCGTGTGCTGTGCATGTCGTTGTTTGAAAAAAATTGTGTGTGTGTGTGTGTGTGTGTGTGTGTGTGTGTGTGTGTGCCTGTATGACTAACTCTATGAAAATTTTGAATGCTGAATGATTGATAACCCAAATGATAAATTAAATAGATGAATGGATTACCTACCATCATAGCGATAATATTGAATTGATGAAACGTTGAAAATTATTGCATATCCTAATATGGTGCTTATAACATTGTATTTAATTATGTAATTGAAATAGCAAACACACTCACACACACACACGCACACACACACACACACACAATTTGGCTTGGGTTAGGAAATAGACCAGACAATTTTAACATTAAAAATATATAAAGATAAGAAATAAATGAATTATACAAAAGTTTTTTTGAAGTGCAAATCGATTTATTAGTAATAAAATAATTTTTTTAAACAAAAAAATTTATTTGATTAAATTATAAAATTGTTAACATTAATGAAAAAATTAAATAATATATTGAAACAAACAAAAGAAAAGAAAAAATAACATATAAAGTTTCATGTTTTTGCATATTAGCTAAAGTTGAATTGCCTTGCAATGTTAGAAAAGTTAAAGTTAATTAAAGAAAGAAACCCACTCTTACACACGTACACACACAGGCATTTTTAAATGTGAACGTATATTGAATTAATATTTTGTTGAAATGTTGTGTGTATTACTTTCGAATCTCAAAAATTTATTCATCGTGTTAATTTTCAACAGCATCAAAAAAAAGTCTGTGAGTCAGTCGAACGTTAAAAAATTTAATATTTTATACTTACATAATAAAGAGCAATATTGGTCCTGAAGATAAAATTGCGACCACAAATTAAACAACAACTAGAGCATCAACTTCATCAACCACTACTACAACAACCACAACCAACAACAATCACAACAACAACTACTACTACAGTAAATTAAACCAGAACATCATCAAAAACACTATGAATCTCCCGTGCAAGCCAGCAGACGTTTTTGACTTGGAAGGAATCGTGAAGACCTGGGCGACACAGATGTATGATTACACCAAGTCCAGAGAACAAAATCGCATTCCGCGTGAAGCGCTCATGTTCAATATCAATTGGAAGGGAGTCAAGTTCATCCACAAAGAAATTGAATTCCCAGAACCACCAAAAAAACCCGTCGTACCCAAAACCCAATGCCTGTTTCGGACAAAATTTTTCAATCAAACAAATCAGGACCAAGAATATACATTCAGGACGGAAAGGACAACCTCTTCGACATGTGAGGTAAGTTTCGATCGATGTTTAACAATAGGAGCCGAACTGACTCTCAGTTTGAAGACACCCATGGAGATTTTTGAAGCAAATGCCGGTTTCAAGAGAGAATTAGCAGTTACTAACGCCCAAGGACAATGCATCGAGCAGTGCCTAACCTGGGGTGTTGACAGTTTAATAAAAGTTCCAGCCATGCACCAGGCCACTGCAGAACTCGTCGTCTATGAAGATGAGCTCTGCGGAGATTTCAATCTGGCCACTGATTTCTCTGGAAAAGTTTGTTCAAACTGAGTTTTTCTTTTGTTTTAAATGAAATCATTTTTGCTTCTATAAAAATATGTGCACTGTAACAGACTAAAATAATTTTATTAATTTTCACTGTCCATATCGATTTTTGCGTAAGATAAAATTTGCATGACTATGTTCATTCATTGCATTCTTGATTAATTGATTTGAAATTTCCATTTGAAGGTCGTCGTGACTGTAACGAACCTGAGAGACAACAATTCCTTCGTTAAGATGATAGAGGGTGACATCTCGGAGATCATAAAGGCAAGTTCGTGCGCGGCCCAAGTGATCGCCAAGAGCAACAGAGTAGTAACCTTCGTCACGAAAGGACACTGCCAGTTTCATTATGGCATAGAACAGCATGTCACTGTACGGCAAGAGCCGATTGTAAGCGTCGAGTGAGCTGGTACAACAGCCAGCAAAGAACTTTTTAAAAATATTTTATGTTGAAAAAATGTAACTTATTTATCGTATCTAATCGTGTCCAATTTATAATTATTCTCCATTTTTTTAATGTTTTTGAAATTTCAAAAAGTTGATACAGCCAGTAGTCGTTTCATTTCTCGCATTTTATTTTATAATTTTTATTAAATGTACCTACATTTTATTTAGAACATTATTATTTTCAGTTAATAATTTCAAACCCCGCACCATCATTATATTTTTAGCTAAATTATTCAGAACGATCTTCTTATATTAAATAAAGATAAAAATTTTCTCAGATTTCTTCAGAATCAATATTAAAGTTTAAACGAAGGTAATTATTATCAAAATTAAATCCAATTTGCAATAAAACTAACCAAACGTCTGAGAATATATATACGTTAAGACTTGTTTGTTAGCCTCTAAAGTTAATAAAACTTGTACATTTTCTACTAAAAGTTTCAAGATGGATTTGGCATGCTTAAGTTATCTAGAAGATTAGGTTTGGGGCTTGACTTAATTGATAATTGTATGGTTTCTAATCAGAAAAAAATTAGGTGATAAGTTAGAAAAATCAATAGATTAAGTGTAATTAGTGCCGTCATCCGTATATATAATGATTAATAACATTACATAGTATTGATATTGTTGTTGCTACTGCTAATTTTATTGTTTGTCATAATGAGAATGAAACTATTATAGAAATGTCGTCAATGAGTAAGCCTAGTTATAATTACGAAATTCATTTAATAATCATAGTAGCAGCATATCAGTCACACACATATATATATGAAAACAAGCTCTGACTCAAGAAGTTATTATCAAATAACTTCTCACCGTTAAGCCATTATATAAATGAGCTAGCCACCATTTCATTATCATTTAAAATAATTCAAGCATTTGTCTTTCGTACGTCGACTAATAAATAAGTTTAAAAAATTGTCAACAAATAATTTTAACTGAAAATACGCCAAGAAATTAAAGTTGTTTCTTAGCCGACAAAACTAAACAGCTTACGATTTGTCGCTATTAGAAACAGTGAAAACAAAACGTCAAACAGAAACCTACGACTACTTCTATAACAATAGCACCAACAAAAAATCTCACTACAACAACCCGAACAAAACTCACAACAACATCCTCAACAAAAACAGACATAACAGGCCACCGAAGATTAAGACCAAAAGGACGGTATGACCACTCAGCACAGCAGTGCAGTGAATAACCCGGACCTTGAAAAAATTGTAAAAAGATGGGCAGTAGAAATGTTTGAAGTAACAAAAACTGAAGAACAAAGTTTCATCTCACCTGAACATCTTGTGTACAACATCAACTTGAAAGGAATCCAATCGACAAACAAGGAGCCCACTACCGACGTATCTCATGGGGGCTATTGTAATGTCAATGTACACCAGAGTTCGACGTTCAATAATACTAAGGTTTGTTCAGTGTATTGTTAACCTTTTTGAACAGGTTTCATCCACTATTTAATTCAATCATTCATAATTTTAGAGACCAATTTGTTTTGTATGTTGTTTAAGAGCAGCCTGTATGACTACTTTAAATAGATCGCATTTGAATTTGACGTGTCTAATTATAGAAGAATGTGTCGGTTGTCTTAATTTCTGATATGCTGCATTTAAGTTTATTCCACAATTCGACGGTTGAATGATTGGACTGGAAAAATAACTCAATATCCTCTTCAATCTGAAATAACTAAATTTTATTGAAGGTCTCTGTGCGGAACGCAAGGGACAACACAACACGTTCGTTAAAACAATAGAAGGAGACATCACAGAAATCATAAACTTCAATTCAAGTTTTTGCGATGAACATTAATGAAACAACAATCTCTACAACAAGTTTTTTTTCTGTTCAAAATCATCGGCATTAATACATTACTTCATTGTATTAGAAACCAACTGGTAAGGATTGCCCATAGAAACAAACAAAAAACACGTTTATTCAAATATAATTCGAATTGTCATTTATTGTGGAATACAAAATGATCAATTACACGATAAAGTAAATAAACTAAAATAAATATAAGCTATACACGAATTAACAAACAGATCATCCAGCAGCCGTAAACGTAGATTTAACAGTAAATTTCCAAACTTAACGACGTACTAATATGAAATTAAATTAGTTTAAATATTATTATGAAAATTTGTTCACAATTTCAAATTTTACTGTAATTAAAAGCAAATTATAACAAATAAAAAAGATGGGCTTTTAAAAAAATAACTGAAAGCCGATTTAGAATCATTGCTGCTAACTCATGTAGTGTCAGCAACTGTAGCAAGTTATAGTAAAACTAACAATGAAGTCGATCGATGATTTACAAACGAATCAAACGTATCATAGCTACACGCATAAATGTCATTGTCATTCATTGAAATGAATTAATCTAATTAACTTATATAAACATTCAAAAGTTAATTTTACAACCAATTTTACAAATTTCAAAACATCGTTAAACACACAATACCAAGCAAACCTTATTAATACTTTCAGTCAATCAACTCAAGGTACTACGTATCATGTTCCTTTGATACAATAAAATTTAAAGAATTCATGTAACCGCTACTAGTTTGAATATATAAAAACCACTGTACAACCAGAGAGCCATGCAAAGTAGTATAAAATACAGCATAATATATTATAATAGGTAACATCGTTAGTTGCATGCTTTTAAAAAAAAGAGAAAAAATGACAATAGTAGAACATGTAAACCTGTTAGATCCAATACAACATTATTTATTACTTACGACGCAATGGTCGAAGGACTCATCCGAAGGACTAACTACCTTGATGCGGGGAACCTGCTGCCGTCGCGATGACCAGGTGCTCTAAATGAAGAGAGCAATGGAAATCTCTGTGAGACATTGTGCAAATCATTAGAATCACGCTGGCCACTTGGAGTCGCTTGTCGGTTTCTAGTTGCATTCAAGAGGCTGCTCACGTCAAAGTTTCCCATCAGCGCGGGTACCGGTAGTCTACTGTTATTACTGTTGCTGCTGTTGTTGTTGGAGTTCATGTTGCTGACCAAGTTTGAGAGGAGAACATTCCGGATGAGATCCAAGCCAGTAGGAGGCAGACTCAGTGGAGGAGGTGGCATGTTTCTGTTGAATTCGTTAGGCAACGGTTGCTGGCCGAGCACTGCGCGATTCAACGACGGAGCAACGAAAGAAGAAGTTGGCTGTGAGTCAGTTGCAAAATTTGAGATGTGCTGCTGTTGTGGTGGATGAGAAAAAAGAGTTGAATGGAGAGGCGGTGGTGGTTTGAGAAGCAGCGATGATTGCGATGCTGGAAGTGGGTCTAATACTCCATCTCCTCCACTACTTCTACTAGCTTTTTCAACTCCAGTGCTACCAGAATTCATACGTTTGTCATCCATTTTTTGTTTTGAAGGAATAGGCTTGGAGTTGCTTCTGCTAGGAACCGCTCTAGAAAATCCATCAAATGTGACTGGAGAATTTAACAACTTGGAAAATTCCTGAGCAGCTCTGGCGGAACTCAAACTTGCAACTGAACTGAAAGAAGATACTACACTGGTGGGATTATTTAAGAGACTTGCATTGAGACTAGAAGTTGAACTAGTATCAGTTTTGTGTTGGAGTGACTGAACGACAGGAGGTTTCATCTCCATGAGGTGAGGAGGCACAGGAGGGGGCACGGATATGAGAGGGGCTCTAGGTGGCAGGTTGATAGGAGGTGGAAGATGTGTAGGAGTTGGAAGAATGGGTGGCGGTGGTCCATCTATTTTGACTTTGCCAAGTGGTAGGAGAGGAAGAGCAGGAGGTGGATTGCTGAAATTTAGAGGTGAGGCGGATAATGCGACATTCATCTGATTCGTCAGAGAGCTGCTGGAATTTGTTACATTGGAATCTGTACATGATGAATTAGCGGAACTTTTAGCAGTTCTTGATTTATCGTTTGCTGATGGATCGCGTGACGTTGTGGATTTAGTGGTCGAAATTACAGACTCAATCTTGTAGACATCCTCTTCATCGCCATCATTGGAAACAATTCCAGTCTTTGGTTGATGAGTTAGAAGCAGTGGCGGCGTGCTCAGCAGAGGCTTCCTTCTTTCACCTTTCAAGTCTTTCTCAGCGCAAGCATTGTTGCAAACTACAGAGATATGTTGCTGACGATTGCTAGTAATTTCATCATCATAATTTTCATGGCTTGATTTGTAATCATCAATTCTTTGACTAGAATTATAATCCTCTCTCTTATCACGCCACGAACGTTTATCGGAATCAGCATGAGGAACAGCCTTGCTATCTTTAATACTTGATGACATACCTCTCTTCCATGAATGCAACGACATATCCTGATTGGCTAGTGCTGATTTGCTGAGATGATCGGACTCTTGAGAACGCAACCTCCTTGAACTTGTGGATGAATCTAATTGACCCGATGACTGATTACCTCTATCTTTCTTCTCTTTGATTGATGAACATGAAGAATCAGTGTGCTGAAACTGCGGCTGTGACAACAGAGGTTGCCTAGTGGTATTGTTGTTAACAGTGCTGACTGCATACGATGCGGATGTAGATGGTTGAGATTTATTTGAGGAAACTGGAGTATTAATTGTAGAACTATCGCTGGATGAATTGAATGACTGACTGAAATAATTAACGGGGTGTGGTTGGCCCGACATTGGTTGCACAGAAGTCTGACTGGTTGATTGAATTACCGAAGTCACAGCACTAGCTGCCTGACTTACTGACAGCGAAGCAAAATTAAGCGGACGACCCTGACCGACAGCAAGGGGGGGAGGGGGTAAACGAGTGTTTGGCGGTCTGAGATTTAAAAGAGGTGGTGGTGGTGAGATGAAAACACTGGTAAGACTAGATTCAGCCACTGTGTTTGCCATGCTGCTGTTCAGCGAGGTCTTCAATGGTGGGTTATAAACGTTGGAAGTCGAGGGCATTGATGTTTGTGGCATGATTTGGTGATGCTGGTGCCTAAACAAATTAGATGTTGCACCAGAAGATGAATTTACATTAAAACCGTTGTTGCTGCTAATCTTTGCATTATTTACATTAGTATTGTTAGCTGTCGGCATAGTGAGAGTAGGAAAGGTTGTGTAGCTGCCAGAAGCTTGAGCTCCGGATGCTGAGGAGGAACTGTGAGAAAATAAATATTGGGATTGTTGTTGCAAAGGAGGTCTTTGTTGTTGGTAGGTGTGATGTAGTTGTTGTTGGGATAAACTTTGCTGTGGTGTTTTCAGCTGCTGCGATGCGGGTACAATTGACTGAGGTGCATACGGTATAGTAGGTGGCTGTTGCAATATCAGATGTTGTTGAAATGATGACGAATGATGCGACTGCTGTTCTTGAGAGTGCGGCATCAACGTCTGCTGCTGCAGTTGTGGCGGTGGATGGTCGGGGAAAAACAGTGGAGGCAATGGTGGAGGGGCGGGCATGAGGCCATCCTTACTCGGTCCTCCTACAACTGTAACTCCCGTCGACATTGTACATGTTGTTGTAGGTAATGTCAACTGAATCGGGTTGAAGTTCGTCAATGAGGAAATTCCACCATTTGAATGACTCCCATAACTGGCATTACTGCTAACATTAGTGCTACTCAAAATATAACTGGCCTGGTTGACTTTGTTGTTTGATGATGAGACAATGCAGGTAGACTGAGGTAGATGTAGTGACGGCTGTGGAAATCTCAGAGGCAAATTGAAAACAGATGGAAAGCCAGTGTTGACAGGGTTGTTGCTATTATTAACCAACAGATCATGTTGTGCATACGGAAGATGGTTTTTATAGCTGCTGTTACCAACATTGGCATTATGCTTATTCATCTGTGGAAAGTAATTCAACGAAGCTGATGCATTGTTGATGGCAGCAATTTTATTGCTGGCTGTAGCAGACGCAGAACTATAATCACCAATATCTGTGCTCTCAAATGGGTCATAAACATCTGTCGAGTCATGCTGAAACACATCTCTACTACTGTTTGAGTACTGTACATTAGTGGGAAGTTTATCGTTAACACTGCCACTGACACCAATGTTTGAATTTGTGTTGTTAGCGTTGTTAGATTTTTTCATGTCTGCCTGCTTGATCATGTCCTTATTTTTTTCCAACTCCTCAACAGATGAATAAGCGGACTTTGGTTTACTGTTTATTCTCTCCATCAATGACTCATAAAGAGACTTACCACCGTCCATCTTCCCATCAGAAGAACTGGCAGTGGTAGTAGCAACTGCAGTCTGGCTGACAGACTTTTGCTTGTTGGCCCAGCCACTGAATGCACTGACGACGCCAAACTTAATCTTTCCTGTTAAGATTATTTTTTCACTTTCCAGTTTAGTCGACGAAGTTGACTTGCTAACTGACTTGTCATCAATGAGTTTTGATTTTTCATCCAGCATTTGTTCCTCTGGAATCACTTCTGAATTGATATCACCGTCAATCGACATTCCATCAATATTTTGATCAGCAGCGCCTTCATTATTTTCCACCATCATCTCCTCATCCTCATCTTCGTCATCATTGAAAACAGCATTGATGTTATGCTTTACCGCAATGCCACTGACAGTCGCATCTATCTTGTCTGCATTCTGACTCTCAATTGAGAAACTGAATTTGCTTTTGCTGACTGAGCTTTTGACAATGTGATGTGGTTTGACGACTCTGTTCATTTCCTCCTCGTCGATATCATCCTCATCTTCATCATCATCGCCATCTAGATCTTTATTGGCTGAAACATCGAAACTGGTGTCAGTGTTATCGTTTTTATTAGCACCGGCTGACGATGGAACCAGGGGTGGCGGAATATCTTCCACAACAGTGCTGATGATATAATCTCGATGGTGAGCGCCACCATCGACCTTTGCATCATCATCTTCTATGATAATCTCTTCGATGTCCATGTTGTCATCTGACACGTAGACAGTATCTTCCTTTGTTGTAGGAACCACATCACTTTTGTGTGGACTATGACGTTGACTATGATGACGATGACCATGGTGATGGTGACTATGATGGTGTTTACTGATATGATTACCACCATTACTACTGGTGATACTGATGTTGTCATTACTATCTCTCGCCAGATGACGACTACTTTTTCTCTTTCTCTTCTGCTTGGGTGAGTTAATCTCAACAAGCTCGTCGTCATCTTCGTCATCATTAACGTCACTATCGCCATGTCTGTCCATTAGTTTAGCCTTCCTGTCATGATATTTCACTGAGTGAATGAGATCTGCAGTTAATTTGGACTTAGTAAGAGACTCTGAATCAACGTTACTAGCATCTTCAACGACGATGTTCACATTTTTGCGACTGCATTTAAGAGGAGCTTGAATTTCATCAACACTGAACATATCATCTCCATTAGGACACTTGCCTGCAACGGTTAACAGTCAAACATTAATACACGTTGAAATGTAAAGCGTTATAAGCGTATCAAAAAAATTAAAGGCTATACTGAAAATTTAAAAAACCAACAGACTTAATTTATTTGCATTTGAGTCTGTGGAGATAGATTCTGAAGGAATGGCTGATAATTTTTGCAATGACGAAGATGACGATGATGACGAAGATGATGACGTTGCTGGGAGAAGAGGAGGAGGAGGAAGAGGAGGAGGAGGAATCAACATCTGCCAGTCAGTGGAGCTGGAGACTTCAACGGAACAATTGTCATCCATGCTTGTGGCTGGCACTGGTGATGTGACTGACGCTGTCAATTTAAAGCATAATGGGATACTATAAATTCTAATGAGAAAGAATATAAATAACAAAAAATAAGTGAGATGATAACAAAGAATGTTTTTGACACTGATTAATAAAGAAGAATTTTCATGTTCAAAGATATTTCTGAAAATAAGTGCCAACTTATCCAAATTATCCGACCTTTGACTTTGGAGACTTTTTGAGGTGGCATGGAATCTTCCAGCAGCATGCCACCCTGCACAATTGAATCCATGTTATAGGGAAGCTTATCCCACGGGATGTACGTCGCTCCCACATCAACTTCCCAGCAACTCAGGAACTTTGACTGTTTGATGCCACTACCAGGTGCCCAGGTCACCTTTACATAAAAGAGTTTTACAGTTCCTTGGTCAGTAATAAATTAATTACTTCATTTATAAATAAGTTTTAACAAATCAATTTTGGTTTGAAAAGTTAGCTAAGTAGAATAAGATCCGTTTGTAGTAAGTATACTAAGTAAACCAGCACGCTATGCTAGTGCCGTGACAATATAAATGAATGAAAT